CTCCACTGCACCATGGGATCATAGATGTAGTGATGATGTGTAAATAATTAACGTCCACAATGTAGACAAGAATGTGGTCCATCCATCCACACTTCAGCTAAACAATTGCAATTACATTGTGCATTAGAGACAATTTTTTAGCTCTACAGTCGTAGACTTGAAAATTCTATGTGGTTCACAATCCATATAACTAGTTGAAATTTGTCATAATTTGAGTCCGAACATTTAAGCATTGGAGATGCTCTTAGAAAATCAATTGGTTCTTACCTATTTTGTTTCTTCCTCGTGTGCAGAACGATGTGAGTGACATACCTGATCTGACATTTAGCATGGATGCAGATGAAGAAAAGCACATCCTTTATGAGAAAACAGAGGTACTGCTATGAGTATGTTTGTTTTTGTTATCAGATTGATAATTCTTCCTTGTATTTGGGATTTGCAATTCAAAACGGAAAATTGTCTCCAGAATAATGCCAATTTATCACTAATTCTGTTTGAGTAATTGAATTGTGAAGGTTACTGACTATGAGCTCAAACCGGGTGGAAGAAATATAAGAGTGATGGAAGAAACAAAGCATGAATACGTAGATCTTGTTGCTGATCACATTTTGACTAATGCTATCCGTCCTCAAATAAATGCATTCCTTGAAGGTTTCAATGAATTAGTACCACGGGAACTTATATCTATCTTCAACGATAAAGAGCTCGAACTATTGATTAGTGGTCTTCCAGAAATTGATTGTAAGTACTAAATTGGTGTGGCTTTTCTGAATCTTTAAATTGTCTGTTACAAGTATTATCGGAAAATTAATGACTCATATCCTTTGTAGTGGCTGATCTGAAGGCCAATACCGAGTATACTGGCTATACCCCAGCATCTAGTGTTGTTCAGTGGTTTTGGGAGGTTGTCGAAGCATTCAACAAGGAAGATATGGCAAGATTTTTGCAGTTTGTAACAGGAACCTCAAAGGTGATTCATTTGAACCTGATTTGTCATAAATTTCTGACATTAGTGATCTAGTATGTGAGTTATGTTAATCATAGTTTTGGTCCCAAATGTTGGTACTGTATTTTGTTATTGAATGTTCCCTGGATAATTTAGTCATTGACATTAAAGTGAACAACTTTCGTATATTTATTCCGCAATGTGGTTATAGATAATGTATAAAAAGTGTTAATAGTGCTTTTGATCAGGGGAAATTACTTTTTTAATTCTTGTGAGTATTTCTCTTAAACTTTTTATTTTATTTTATTTTATTTTATTTTTTTTTTTTATGTTTTGGTTTGGGACAAAAAGGCTATGTTGTTGTTGTTGTTGACAGCTTTTTTACTTGTCTACATAACATAGTTGTGCTGGCTGAACTTTTCCTATTTTGGTCTAGTTGATTGAAAGATTTTGTTGGGGACTAATTTGTATTTGCTTTTTTTATTAGGTCCCTCTAGAAGGTTTTAAGGCACTGCAAGGCATATCTGGTCCCCAGAAGTTTCAAATTCACAAAGCATATGGAGCTCCTGAGAGACTTCCATCAGCTCACACATGGTAAATCTATTCACATAGTGAATATGATGTGGTATTTGGATTGTTGAGTTTATGTATATGCTTGCCACTTTTTCAAGTGTTTCTACTTTCCTTCTTTTCAATCTTGTCCTGCAAATTCATTTCTCTTGACTTCCACTTTACAGCTTTAACCAACTGGACCTTCCCGAGTATTCTTCCAAGGAGCAGCTTCAAGGACGTTTGTTCCTAGCGATCCACGAAGCTAGTGAAGGATTTGGCTTTGGTTAAAGCTTCAATTTGGGTTCAATGTGGTTCCTTTGTTGCTGCTGGATTCGTCATTGCAGTAAACGTTAGTATCATTGATCTATTTCTGAAATTCATTCATTTATAAACTAATTGGTTGTCGCAACGTCGACATACTAATCAATATTAAATTATTGTGTGCCGTGAAATGAATAAATAAAAATACTATTAAATCTTATCTTATTTATTTATGTTATATTATACCCCGTGGGGTATACACTCTAGTGTGCTAAATAAGTTATGCTCGGCTTGAATTGTGAATGTGTTTTATAATTTTGCAGGTAAAATACTGATGTGGATCCACTGTCCCTTGAGAATTATTCAGAGATAGGCCCCTGGGATATGAACAGCACAAATTTTGCTCACCAAAATATGAACAGGAAGGTCCCTTTTGCCCAAAGAGGATGCATATATTGCTTCTGGCTCAAGTCTTACTATTTTTAACTTGTGGTACATAAAGAATATTGAATGAACATGTAGATGTTTTCAAGATTTTGTGGGAATATGTGTGTTGACTTATATTAAATAATTTGTGAGATGCATTGTGGATATATCCGCAATCAGTAATTTATGATATTGCAATGGCTTTTAATCTGATTTTTTTTGGTCTCAGAGCAGCTGCTAAAAAAAATTTCTTGTTTGCGTGATTTATTTCTGGTGGTTGCTCAGATTTTATATCGTATGCTTTAAATTGTTTTTAAGGGAATCTCAGCGATCAAGACACGGCAATAATTGAAATTTATTTGGAAAACTGTGATAATGCGCACGATCGATGCACTGTAATATCTTCGCGAGGTTGCTATATTGTCGATCGCGGCATATAAACTTCAACGACGATGTCACATCATTATCTGAAGCAAGGAACACGAGTACAAGGGGGGCATCCAATACTTAATTTTCTTAGACGTTTTAAGCAAGCCACCTTTGAATGGGACTTGTAAACTCTCGTCCGGATGACGATCATCCTCTTTACAAAACAGACCTCCGTGTTCCGGTCAGCAATCATTCATTTTCTTTACAAATTGAAGACTACCCCTATGAAGGTAAACAAAAACGTTCTCATCAATATTTGATCGCCTCCCTATAAATTAACATGTGACCATCGAAGAATATAACGCTGCTAACTGTATTCCGATCGTCAAGGAGTCTTTTTCAAAAGTTATGATGTTACTTTCAAGAGACAAGGGCAAAGACCCTCTTACAAAATACGTTGGTGGACCATCAAAATATCGGGGTGATCCCTCGAAATGAGATCTCCTGTTAAGTAAGCGACCGTGACTAATTAACTCACCTTGGCGATCGGCGCACACAACAATATAATTCTCATGATAACTAAAAGAAGGAGACTCTAAAAGGAGACCATGGATACTCCAAACCTATAAGTCCAGAGTATCTTCTTTCCAGGTCGCCACTTTTATTCTAGGTCGTAGTTTCTCTACGTTTGAATTTTGACAATCTCAATTATGTCAATCTTTGACTACCCTGAAGTATTTTATTTTCAGATTGCGACATTTATTATAATAATTTGTGTCGTAGTGGTCTGTCCTCAACGACTTCAATTTTGCTGATCTAAGAGACACTTTGACGGACTTTTACTATGATATAAAGATGTGGTTCACCAACACATGAAGACTTCATTTAGACGATCTAAGTATCACTCTCAACCGTCCATAACAAATGGATGAAAAAGGCACTATGATCCTTACTAAAAGAAACATGCTGCAAACGAAACCAGACTGTCGACAAAGGGCCATGCTCCATTTCTAGGTTGTCCGCGTGATACCCGACCATCACATTCTCAGGCTGCCACATGAGGCCAAACCTTCATCTCTAGACCGACTGCGTACAACCCAACAACCATCACACTCTCAGGCTTCCCACAAGAGGCTAGGCCTTCATCTTGAGTTGTTTTCATGTGAATCGACCATCACACTATCAGGCTGCCCATAAAAGGTTAGACTTTCATCTCTACGTTGTTCGTGTGCGACCCAACCATCACACTCTCAGGCTGTCCACCAGATGCCAGGCCTTCATCTTTAGGCTGTCTGCGTTTGACCCGACCATCACAATCTTAGGCTGCCCACAAAAGGTCAGGCCTAGGCTCTTCGCGTGCGACCTGAACGTCACACTCTCAGGCTGCCCACAAGAGGTCAGACCTTCATCTCTAGGTTGTGTGCGTGCGATCTAGTTATCACACTCTGAGGCTGGCGACATGAGGCCAGACCTTCATCTCTAGGCTATCCGCGTGTGTCCCGACCATCACACTTTCAGGCTGCCCACAAGAGGTAAGCCCTTCAATTTTCAGGTTGTTCGCTCGAGATTCGACCTGCAAGAATTTCAGGTTGCCCAAACGGGTGCACGACCTTAAAATTTTTTTAAGCGGCCTAAAAGAGGCATGACCTTTAAAAAATCTAGACTGCCCACACGAGGTCAGGCCATCAAGAAACTAAGTTTGCCAATCAAAGGCAATATGTTGATCCCTTTCGGATGGCGACATGTCCCGACAATTATTATTTTTTTCATCATCATCATCATCATCATCGTCGAACTACAACTGCAAAATTATTTCAAAGGCAATACGCCGACCACTTCTGGGTTGCGACATACCTCGTCCAAAATATTTCTTATCATCATCAAACCACGACCACAAATATTTTACTCAGCATAAATGCCAAAACTACGAAATATTGATTATTCTCGAATATATTATTTCTTTACCAGAAACGCCAGTTTACCGAACCATTTTTCATATATACAAACAAAAGAACCAAATGCGATCTCCTCAATGGCCTATATTTTTCTTGAATACACACTTTTCAACTATAATCATGTACACTGCAAATTTCACAAAACCATATATTAGCCAACACTTCAACTCACACATTTTTAAATAAGTCTTACATCCCTTAAACATGAATAAAGGATCACACATCAGCCAAAACAAATTCAAACTACATTTCAAGAAATAAATTATTATAGGTTGTTCAACAATCGACAGAATCCTTGCAGCTACTAAAAGCGCCTCCATGGCCTACTACGTCCTCTCTCCTATATCAAAATACAACTTGGTGAAATAATTATTAAAACTAATAAATTATTGAAGTAAAGTTGTAAAATTGGTTCAAATACCACATTTCAAAATTTGTCCCAAATTACGACAAGTCTCATTTTAACTTACCATTTGACTAACAATGGTATCAAAATTGCAGAGGAAAAAAAAAAGTATTTTTATAATTTATGGGAGTAAATTTACAATATGTCTAATCATTTAGACTACTGCTATAAAGCTAACTTGAGTTACAACTTATGTTACAACACCACTGAAATGCATTATTTAATATTTCTTGATTATACATTTATACTTGAGTTGTAATCTAAGTTGTCACTCAAGTTGTCCAAATAGCATTATTCAATCATTTATGATTAAATTTGCAATTTTCTCAATTGTGGGTAGTGATGTTTAATTAAACGAGTGTGGCTCGGCTCGGCTCGAGCTCGGTTCGTTAAGGCTCGGTTCGGCTCGAGTTCGAAGCCTTAACGAGCCGAGCTCGAGCTCAATTTTTAGCTCGTTTGGTCTCAGCTCGATAAAGCTTGTTAAGGCTCGAAAAGTGAAAACTGTGTAATTTTTTATAGTTTGGCTCGTAAAAGCTCGAGATCGTCTCGTTACGGCTCGAGCTCGTGCTCAAACACCTTAAGCTCAAGCTCGGCTTGACTCGTATACAGGCCTAATTGGGGGGGGGGGAAGAAGACACATTTGGAATTGACCATCCACGAAACACTTGTTCCAACTCTCACTACCCAGCCACGACCCACCCCACTCCACAGACTCCACTCTCCCCAGTCCCCGCCAATGTCGAATCCATTACTGGCCGGCAATCGCGACGACCCTCTTATGCTGTTGAGTAGCCATCACCCCTCCTCCCCGATCGCCGTTTCCGATGCCGACAGCTACCTCCTCGACGCCTACCAATTTGGCAGCGCCTCCAGTAGCCTACAGAACGAAGCCGGCTTCCTCGGCGGCGGTTACGACCCTGGACTGATCAGCGAATCTGAATACGGATTCTCCAGGCCCGATTTCAGGCAGGAACCGCTCGTGGGGACGGTGGAGATGTACGAGCGCCACGTGTTCCTTTGCTACAAGAACCCTCAGGTCTGGCCTCCCCGCATTGAGGCTGCTGAGTTCGATCGCCTGCCCAGGCTTCTCGCCGCCGCTTTGGCGGCTAGGAAGTTTGATATGAAGCGAGAGGTGAAAGGCTTGTACTTCTTCTCATTTTGTTTTTCCTTTTTCAGTTGTTCTACGAGGTGAATTTGTTGATGCGTTTTTGAGTTGATCCTAACACGGTTTTCGATGTTGGCTGTTATTTCCTGATTTCGTCGGCCTTATAATCCTCTTTCTTGTACTGTGGGGAATGCATTTATGCATCATACATACTTGGTAATCAGATTTTATATTGTTGCTATTTGAGTAATATTTTGTTAACTAAATTGGTTTAACTATAAGGTGTGTATGATTATTGCATGGGTTAAGCCATTGTGATTTCAGTTCACACTGCAGTAGCGTGCGCAACGTTATTTGTTTTGCCCCTCAAACTGAACTATTGTTGAAGTTCCACTTTACCATCTTATTTTAGTATGAGATTTGAACATATAGCTCAATTGTACGAAAGAAGCACACTTTATGCATGATCCAGGGTAGCCTACAACGTGCTCTTGAATATTTCCTTTTATTTGTTTATTTCATTTTTAGGGTGTTTATGAGTTCCTAAAAGGAGACCGATCTCCACAATTTCGCAAGTAGTTGCTTCTCCATAATATTACCAAGATTTTCTCATTTCGCCTCAGGTTTAGGATATTCTGTTGATGAATATTATCTTCTATCTCCCGGTGTGTGTGTGTATGTGTGTGTGTGTTTTATGGTACACTAGGCTGTTCAGATATTAGGGTTATTTGTATTTAAATGTGCTGCAAAGTAGTAGTTCATATGGCATGTCAAGTAAATGAAATAATATTTTCTCTTTGTACTGGTTTATATTCGCTCTTCTGGATAATGATTTACCATCCTAATGATTTCATTATCACTTTTTGTTCTATCTATTCTCAGACTCGCTTAACAATATGTGAGGGGCATGACGGGACCGAGACATCAAATGGTGACGTGTTAATCTTTCCAGACATGACCAGATACAGGTCAAATATAAACCTTTTCATATTTTAAAGCTTCAGAACTCCTTAACCATTCCTGTGATTTGGATCTGCGCGTTCTAATACAATATAAAATTGCAGGAGATTAACACATTTTGATGTTGACACATTTGTGGAGGAAGTGCTCGTGAAGGATGGGGAGTGGCTCCCTGGAAGTCCGGAAACTCTGAGGGGTTGGTACATCTTTGTATGCTGCCACGGGTCAAGAGATCGACGTTGTGGTGTTTGTGGGCCATCTGTAATGAGTAAATTCAAAAATGAGATCGAGCTGCGTGGTATACAAGGGAAGGTGTTTGTTAGCCCTTGTTCACACATAGGAGGTCATAAGTATGCAGGCAACGTGATAATTTTTGGACCGAATATAAAAAAGGAAGTTACAGGACATTGGTAAGCGGTTAACTAGTTTGTTTTTCAGCCAAGGTTCTTGAAACATTCAATTCGTTTGTTTTATGAGAATGCTTAATTGTATTCTGCTCTCCAAACATTAGCTTTTGCACACTTTCTCATTGGATTTTAAACTACAAATTCTGCCCTCTAGATAGGTCCTTAGTTGTGAGAGGTTTGAATACAAAATATTTGATGTTTCAAATGCATAAGGAAAATTTTTCATACTATACCATGTAAAAAGCACAATAATAAGGCAGGCAAACTGCAATTATACTTTCCAATGAGAAATGACCTACAAGCTTGTTTAAAGGCTGCATTATGACTGCTATATCCCTGCAGGTATGGGTATGTCATGCCTGAAGATGTTCCTCTTTTGCTTGAACAGCATATTGGAAGAGGAGAAATAGTAGATTTCCTGTGGAGGTAAATTAATTTTCTTCCACTTTGCGTCTATTGATGTCCATAATGAAATATAAGTTCCTTTCGAAAAATGAGTACGTCGACATTAATTTGTGGCCACTAGGATCATTCTGCTCGTCTGACACTTATTTATTGTTCCATAACAGAGGACAAATGGGACTATCAGAAGAAGAACAGAAAAAATGTCTGGAACAGAGGTCTATGCTTAATGGCGGAACAAATGCAGATAGAACCACTAAAGAAACAAAAGAAGTAGCTGCCAGCTCATCATGCACATCTGGATCTGATGTGAAAGGTTGCGGTCAGGCGAACGGTGGCTTCTCCTGCTGTCAGAGTCCTATTCTGCTAGAAAAGTGCGGGGATTTTGATTTCGAGGAGGTTGCAGCAAACTGCATGACAGATGAAAAAAAGAAGAAAAAATCTAAAAATCAAATTTCTCTAAATAATGTGGGGAAGGGGACTCGTAAGGTATCGTCTATGCCAATGTGGTACGAAAGCTGGGAACGTGAGGATACGTACGCGGCCCTTGCTGTTGTGGCTGCTGCCTTGTCAATTGTATTCTCGTACAAATGTTTCAAGGAACTTAGCTGAATTGTTCTTTGGGGTGGTAAGTATTGTTTGTTGTGTTGAGATGTGTTTGTGGGTTGGGGATTGAAGGGTGTATTGAACAGTTTGATGTGAAAATGAAAATGGAAGCTTGAGAAGTCATGCTGGAAATGAAGAGAGAGAGAGAGAGAGAGAGAGAGAGAGAGAGAGAGAGAGAGAGAGAGAGAGAGAGATGGGATTGTACATATGAACTCCGGTCTTTGCCAAAGAGTTCAGATCAGTTTCATATGAACTATAACATTAATAAGTGTCGTCTATTTCGAAGCTGCTCGGAGTACTCCAGTCGACAGAGGGCCCGTTTTATGAGAACATTTAGGTGCATGTCGCCGAGCAGGCTGTGCCTTTCTCTTCCAAGCCTATGAGGGTTAGGAAGAAAAAGTAGTCTGGAAGAAGGCGAAGGCACCAGTGCTAGTAGTTGCTCTCGGACCATCCCCTCAGGGCATGGTTTCGAGTCTTCTCCTTAGACGTCCTCTTCCTCCTGATTGACGGCTTCGGGAGCTCAGCCCAAACCTCCTCGCCAGATGTGACTAGTAGCTAGTAAGTTGGAGTTTTTTAGTATGGAGTCCAGTTGTGTTTCTCGCTTTGGTTCTTGATTGTGGGGTTTTGTGGTTGCGTGGTTGGGTTCGTGTGCTGGACTAAGTAGCCATTGATTTGTGCTCGTAAGTTGGGGAGATAGT